GGTCCTGAATCTTTGGGTCCCAAAACTTTTGTTAACTTTGACTACCACTCTTTCTCTTTGACTACCAGGTATCATAGCTCCCAAAATCTCCACAATTTCAGTCCGTCGAACTCCTGCCCAACTGGAGAACATGAGTCAACCGAATCTTTCGAAACTGGCTCGTGAGAATTGGGAGAAATTCGAAGAAATGGCTCGAGACATGGTGAACAAAATGGCTGGTGGAACTGTGTGGAAGCATAAAACTGTGAAAGCGAACATGGGAAATGTGTACGATCCGAAGAGAGGATGGGCGGCGCCGGAACCGGAGGAAGTGGATTCGGATGCGGAGATCGATGTTGAAAATTAGTAATCTTCTTTTTTTTTTTTTAATATTTTATTCATTTTCTAATTCCCAATTTTGCATTCCTTTTCAAATCTCTTTTTTTTTGTATTTAAAATTATTTATTCATTAAAATCCATTTGTCATTTTCATTTTCCACACCATTCAGAAAATCGGATGATCCCTTGATCCACTCCTCCAGATAACAAATCTGCTTAGGAAAATAAATTCTGCTTCCTTATTTTTATCTTTTTTATTCTCTTTTTACTTTTCTTTGCCACCTATATTATCTCCATGGGTGGTTTCAGACAATGTTCCTAGACTTATTATTCTCTTTTTTTGCTCTCCATAGGGATTTATTTGTGGTCAGGTACTAGACAGACTGAACACGTGGCTAGTATAGTTTTTTTTTTCTAGAAGCTATAACTACCGTACCCCCATCAGTTTCGTAATCTCAATTCCAATTTCATCTGCGTGCCAGGTGTTTTTTCTGAAATTTCAGGGTGTGAGACCAACGACGGCGTAAGACTAAAGTCTGAAACAAAACAGGTGAAAAATGTGAAATTTCATATGCATTTTTTCATGAATAATGAAATAAATTTATGTGTATTCGGATAGAAAAGAAAATGACGTTGACGGAGTATATAAGGAGCAGAAATAGGGTTGGAAAAGTGAGTGTTTTGGCCTCAAAGATGGAACTGCGCTCGACTGACAAACAAACATAATCAATTTCGCCTGAATTTAAAATTATTTTATTAGGACTTCAATTTAATGCAGTTAACCGTCAGAATTCATTAGAAAAATTCTCGAAATTGCGCGTAAAAAAAATCATTTTTCTGCTTCTCAACAGAGCGCATTTGCAAACCTCATTTTATGAGTTTTTTAGAGTTCCGGAATCCCAAAAAAATATGACTCACGTAATAAACACGTGCGAGAACTAAAAATGCACCGAAAATTTTTTTTTGGCTTCCATCACACTTCCCAGAAGTTTCCAGGCTTAACATGTTTTTTCAACCTTTTGGAGTCTCTTTGTGAAGAATGAGATCAGGCCCGCCGGGTGACAAAAAGTCTGATGTTTTTCTTTTTGCATAGCTGTCACGAACCGGGTTGGGCTAATTCCAGAATTTTCACGGATCCGACCCGATGGCTCCGAATCCAAAATTGAAGTTTTGCTATGAAGTCCCAATGATTTTTCGTTTAGCACAATTCTTTTGTTTACTGTGAATTTCATTTAAAAATTTTCTGGGAAACTGTATAAAAAAATAAATGTTCAACTTTTTATCAAAAAGTTTTTTTTATCTGATCGGAATCTTAGAAATATTCGAGCTAAATTCAAAACCTTCTTGAAATCTCACGGAGCCGAAAATCCCAAATGTTATGGTGAACTCTGTAAAAGTCAGTTGTGACCGATTTCCGAGAACTTGACGGCCCCAATATTTCACCACGAAAACTACCGTATAAATTCATTTGATACCGTAAGAAACTTCGAAAAAGTTTATTTATTTATCGAATTTCATCAATTTTGATTGATATTTAACGAATATTTTTCCTGAGGAAGAGCTAGAAGAATCGCTGGAAATAGATGAAAATTGATGGATATTCGATAAATCTTACGGTAGAAATTAAATTTATACGGTAGTTTTCGTGGTGAGATATCGGGGCCGTCAATTTGTCGCATTTCGGCTAGCACTTGCTTTTACACTGATCGCCATAATATTTTTGAAGTGTTGCGGAATCGAAAAACTGAAAATTTAAATAAAAAAAACTGCCAAAAAAATCAAAACAGGTTACATCCTGAAAAAAAACTGACTTTCTTTTTTTTCGAATATCATTTTCTGGTTCTCAGAACGACCTTTCCCATTTTTCTCTCTGCTAAAGAATTCGAATTCCATTCGAAATTTGAATAATTGAGTGTTTGTTTTCTCTTCCTTTTCTTCTTTTTCTTTCCTGGTCCCCACGTCATTTACTCCTCATAATTTGATAATAGACCGATCCGAAAAACAACGTTCTCTCTGCAAAAAACAATTTGATCTACGGTTCAATTTCATCAATAGAGCGGACTTGCAACATCCAATTTTATTATATTTTCTTTTCTCCTTGCACACAAAAGATCCTCCTAATTGGACTGGAAAAATGGGAAGAGACAGAAAATAATCCTCTTTTTTCTCCTTTTCTCCTTTTGGTGTCATTTTCTGTCTTCTTCCCAGAAGACGTGTCATCCACGTCATCATCAAAATGACACGTCTAGCAGATATTCATGAAGGGGACGAGAAAGCTCCGCCCACTTTATTGTTTTTTGGTTCAGCAGAGTTGAGTTTAGTGTTCTGAATTCTTTTTTTTTTTTGGGTCTTTTTTTGTAGGAAAAAACTTTTACTAAATTTTTTGAGATTCAAAAAAATTTGTTTCGAAGAGGACTGTGCGGAAGTTTTTCGTCAATTTTTTTTCGAAAAAATTTCAGGCGAAAAACTTTTTGCACTTTGAAATTGAGACACTATTTTTCGCGAAAAATTATTACCTCTGTAAAAAGAGCGCTGGCCGAAGGTCCGACAACTTGACGGCCCCGATATCTCACCACGAAAACTACCGTATAAATTAAATTGCTACCGTAAGACTTATCGAATTTCATCAATTTCCATCGATTTTCAGTGATTTTTCTAGTTCTTCCTCAGAAAAAAAATGAATGAATCTTCGTTAAAAATCAAATAAAATTGACGAAAATCGAAAAAAAAAATTTTTCCGAAAATTCTTACGGTAGCTATTAAATTCATACGGTAGTTTTCGTGGTAAGATATCGCGGCCGTCGAGTTGTCGGATCTTCGGCCAGCATTTGCTCTTACACCGATTGTCATAGTACCGCGCAAAGTGATGGCCCGAAAAAACTAGTGTAGTCTGCGTGGACAAAATTTTAGAATGTTTTCTATTTTCAAATGTTTTCCCACTGTTTTTACCGGCTTTTCGTTGGTTTTTCACCAGAAAAATGTGATAAAAGAATTATCGAAAATCTATTTTGAAAAATGTTTTGTTTTCAGTTTTTTCGTGTCAAAAATTTCCGAACCACAATTTATTGTGGGTTTTTTCCTCCAAAAAAAATTTCGAAAAAAAATTCGTCAAATTTTTTCGGTGCTTTTTCTCCGCACAATCCTGGTTCCAAAAGTTCCCAAAACAAATCATTTTTGACCCTTTTCGTAATATTAGTCGTTCGACACTATATAATAAAATATTCCAATTATATTCGTAACCTGAAAAACATGGTCTTTGAGAAGGAGAGAAAAGAGAGCATTTTTAGTTGTTTTCATTTCTTCCCTCCCATCTAATTCCCCATTTTCTTCTTCTTTTTTTTTAGTCAAGTAGTAGTGGTAGAAGTCTAGACTTGAAATGGAAGAAAAGAGAGAGAGAGAGAGAGAGAGAGAGAGAGAGAGAGAGAGAGAGAGAGAAGAGACATTGTTTAAGGGGGAGACAAAAGTGTCATCCTCTCATTTCTTGACATGTTTATTTATATTGTTTTAGTGAACAAAGTTTAAGGGGTCTAGACTCAAAATGGTTCCTAGGACACCAAAGGGGGCGGGGCCTGTGGAGTGGCTTTGAAAGTTTCGAAACTTCTAGACTTCTTTTCGTCATGCCTCCTAATCGAATTCTTCCTAATCAAATCATATTTTCCCGCAAGTTGGTTTCGACTAAAAGTTCTTTTTTGCAAAATTTTTTTTCGTTTTTCAAATTGAAAACTAACCAAAAACTTCAAAAAAAGTGAAAGAGAGTACGGTAGTTCCAATTATTCTGCAATCTGACCTGGTGCGCTTGCAGTTTGAACTCACAAGGGTCAAAACCTCAACCGTCTACACTATTGGGCACGTCGTCAGACTGCTTGAAATTGCCATATATTGATGCGGTTGACTTTCAAAAACGTCATAGCTCGAGAACCAGTCATTTTTCACCATTAGAACTATCATTTTATGGTTTTGGTCGATTAGCAGTATTGGTGCTTTCAGTGCATTTATGTATGTATCTGGTATTTTGAAGTTTTCCTTCTTTTTGACTCTTTTTTTGGATGGAGTCTTATCAACGTTTTGGCAATTGCCATTATCAGGATAGTTACCGCCTAAAACAATTTTCAGACGGATGGTTTAGACGGTTCCTATCCTGACGATGGAAATTGCCGGAACGTTGGCGGTATGCTGAATCAGAACGGTTTCTAAATCAGAACTTTCCCGAATCAGAACTTTTCCCAAACCAGATATCTCAAAAGTGGGCGGAGCTAGAAACAAGTTGTCAACTACAAACTTTTTCAGAATTAAATTTGGAGCAATTTTGCAGTTGACAATTTTTTCTAGCTCCGCCCAGTGTTGAGATATGAGACAGTTCTCATCCGGGACAGTTCTGATTCAGGAAGTTCTGATTTAGCATACCGCCGAAACGTTGATAGGAAAATAAAAGAAACGTGCTAAACACTCCAATCAAAAAGTGCCAAAGATGAATCTTCAAAAACCAGAACCATTATTATGATCATTCGGAGTACATACTTTCATATACAACTTTATCACTTTTTCCCCTTTTTGCCCTCTTCAAGCAGTATAACAAAGCAACACAGTGACAATTCCTTCTGGGAAGAGGGGGTAGTCTGACCTGTCACTCATCATCACAATGCGCACTCTTTTCTCAGAGACGCACATTATTCAGACTCGATGCCCTGGTGGCCGAGTGGTCTAAGGCGTGAGACTAGGGGAGTCTCATTGGTTCACACCAGCGCGGGTTCGAATCCCGCCCGGGGCAAATCGTTTTTTGTTTTTTGTTTAATTTTTTGTTTAAGTTGGAGAAGGTTTTTTTGGAGTCGTAGCTCAAGAACAAGTCTTTTTTTTTGTCATTCGGAGTGGATATTTTCAAATGAGTCATGTTAATTTTTTTTCCATTTCGGCCTCCAAACATTTTCATAAAAGTTATAAAAAGTACTGGAAAATTAAATTGCCACTTTCAAAGTTTTTCGGTTTTTTATGGGTTCCCATTGTTAGTTCATGCATATTGAATGACAACTTGAAATGTTGTTCAAATGTCATCCCACTCTCAATATCACACCACGGAAACGGGGTTCAAGACACAGCTAAAAACGAGTGCTACCGTAGTAAGTAAATTTCTACCATAGGATTTTCGGGAAAAAATAATCAAACTTCATCGAATTTTCTAGCTCATCCTCAGAAAAATAATAGTTGAAAATCGATTGAAATTGATGAAACTTGATGAGTAAAAAAAACATTTTCAAAATTTCTTACGGTAGTTTTCGTGGTGAGATATCGGGGCCGTCAAGTTGTCGGATCTCCGGCCAGCACCTTACCAACTTCAAGGAATCATGTTCCATATTTTTTTTCCAGGGAACATGATTCTCATATTCCTATTCTAGACCTAAAAATACACACATATGTTCATCCGACTCCAATCCAGAAGGTGTCAGAATCCGCCGGATGCTAATTACATGTTATTCGAAAGCATCTAGAAGGTGTTCTTCACTCTGTTTTTCCCCTCGGGGGACCACCTATTCTTGCAAGAGAAGGACACCCACATTCTTCCTTCTTCCTTCCGGTTTCTCTCTTCTTTTCTTGGAGCTCCGGCTCCAAGAGAAGAAGAAGAAGATGGTGATGACGTAGGAAGAAATGGAGAAAAGTTGAAGAAATAATAAGTTCGCTTCTCTTTTTTTCTATAAATAGAGAGCCAGTGGACTGGAAATAGATACCTCTCATTCCTCTTTGCTTTTTCTTTTTTTCTTTGTTTTTTTTTGAATTTTTAGGAAGAGCTTCTTCGGTTTTTGGGTCGAATTTCTTATTTTTGGGGTCAGATTCTTTTCTTTTTTGAATTTTTTTGTTTTTCTTGAAACTTCTTCCACTTCCTGTCTGGTACAAGTCACGTAGGACATTGTTTTGGGGATAGTCACAAAGGAATTTCAATTTTTTGGAATTGTTTTCGAGAGAAAAGTCCAGGTCAACTCTGATATCTCTCAGGGAATAAATGACTAACGCTGTTATCAATTGGTATTTTTTGGTGAGCTCACGCACGCTACCGAAATGTCAATTTTGAGCAAGTACGCTTCACTCAAATTGCGCGGCGATTCAAATTACAATTATACATATTCGCTGCGCACGGAAAGTTTTTTTGCACGTACAATTTTTTTTCGGTTTCTACGCTCCATCTCACACGGACTTTTACAAATTTCATATTGCGCCTTTAAAATCTGACAGTAAGCCGAAGGAGCGCGCACCATGTTCCCAGAGCACTTTTTAGTAATAAATTTCGATCAAATTCTGTCAATATTAAATTCAACATGATGCGAAGAGAAAAGTTCTATTCAATTTTATTCAAAAAAAGCTTAGGCCCTGATTTTTAATTTTTCAACAAAATGAGAAAAATGCCTACGTATCGCTGGGTCGCCACGCAGTTAGCATGCGACCCTACAGTAAGACAGTGCTCGAGAATGAAACCTTTCGAAAACACGTACAAAAAATTTCACTGCGGCTGAGATTGGAAAAAATCCAATCAGAAATTTCAATCGAAAACATATTCAAAACTATAGAAATTTCAAACTACCTCCGAATCGGAATAATTGCAGCAGAGCGCGGTTACTTAAAATGGACATGCAGCGAGCTCGTGATCGCGAGATGAAAAAAAATCGCTGGATTATTTGACAATTATTCTAATCAGAACTGTCCCACATCTCAAAAGTGGGCGGAGCTAGAAAAAAGTAACCCCCTCCTGATTTCCTCTAGCTACCCCCCGAGAAGGCGTGATGGTTTTTGATTTGGTACAGGTGGGGGGTTATGTTGAATTGGAGGGGGGCTAGTTGAAATGACGGGGGAGTGATTGAGATCCCGGGGGGGGGGGGGACCTCATGGAAAATGCGTTCAATTCAATTTCGATTAAGGCATATACTACTAGCTAACAGCCGAACCAAGCTGCGAACACCGGGGAAAATTCGCGCGACCCCGTCAAAAAAAGAGCCTATGCCAGAAATATTAAGCCCTTTCCTCTCAAAAGGCATCAGGAGAGCCGCAAAGCGGAAAATTTGAACCAAAGAGTTAAAAACTGAGAAATTTTAAAACAATTTTTTG